TAACTGGTACATTGTGACAATTTATTGTGCGAATCTTACCATAGGATGTGGATCTGTACCAAGCATCTTTTCTCGTACAGCCCATCTTACTTTTGAATGCTTTGCTTCTCCAGGAAAAGATATCCGCTTCCATTCTTGTTGATACTTTTGATAAAGAGCAACAGGGTCACACTTCTTGTTGACGATATTTTTCTGTACCTCCGATTGTAACCTCCATGGTCGAATAACTGTATACAAATAGCCCGAATACAAAAATGGAAAATCTTTAAAAATTTTAACAAATTGTTAGAGCCCGATCGAAACTTTTACCGAAACTGAGAACAAACACTCATTACGTTCCAGTTTCGACTAAAACCATATAGCTCATAATCTTCATAAATATTAATTTTAATATGTGTAATTATTGTTTCAATAATTAAATTATAATGTTTATAAAGAAGAAGTACTTATATTCTTTGGCCAAAATTGACACACAACCGAAATTTCGGTTATCGATTTCGGCCGAAATTTAATTATTGTTTCAATAAATTATATTTATGAAGAAAAAGTATATGATACATGGACATGTCTATACATATGGCCTTTATAGAATTCCTATTTTTTAATTTTGGTTTTGGTTTCGGTTGAAATTGACATGTAGCCGAGTGTTTCGATTCAATTTTGATCGAATTCTACAAATTATATGTATAAATCTTACACAACTTACATGATTTAGGTCCAGAATTGACAGATGATTTTGCAGATAAGGTACTTTGTGTACGAATATTTCCAGTCGGATCTGATGTAACGCTCTTCAATTCTGATCGGCTTACATAATTTGATAAAATCGGCGCGTTCGATGGATGTTCTTGTATTAAAGTCATTGGTTTCATCTGTTCGTCTATTTTTAAATTTTGCTTACCAAATGTTTCTACCAAATGACTATTTTTTGTTAAACATTTAGAAATATCTTGTTTAGTTTCACTTTTTGAGCTTTTAATAACTGGATAAGATTTAGTATTGGAATAATTTCGTTCACAATAAATCCTATTAGATTCAGCTACTTCAATAGCATCTTGCTGGTTGCATCTTCTTTGTGACAATTTCTCATCTGATTTTATCACGTTTGCTTTGGAGCATCTTTGTTTTTGTACATCTTCCTCCTTAGAGATACATCTTATTCGAACCTTTACCACTGACTCGTCATCAAGCGAATTTGAAGATTCAGAAGGAACGATATTACTCAAGGAATAATCTGCTGTGTCATGATGTTTATAAGCTTCCCTGAGCAGAGCCTGTTGTTTGTTAATTATTTTTGTTTTAATCTCTTCTCTTTGTTGCTGCCTTTCGCGTTCTCTTACCTTTCTGTATATCTTCAAATCTAGAAAGAAAAATGTAGCAATATCCCAACTGTTTTATAACAAAGTACACATCGATTTTATAGCAAAATAACAATAGGAAGAAAAATAATATAAACAAACGTGTATCGATCATGTGGCAATAACATTATTATTATTATTATTATTGTTGTAGAATAAAAATAAAACAGAAAGAAATAAAAAGGAGAATCAAGTGTTGCAAACGTTGCACTTACCTTTCATAAATGCTTTTAGTTGAACTGCAGTGATGCCGACGAATCCTAACGAATTCAAAAGAACGAGAACTTCTCGCGGATCATCTTTAATCTCTGACATAATCGCATCAATTTGAGAAAGAAATTCGAAAGATGATACGATACTCCTCACCTTTTTAAATAAGAGAAACGTTAATACTATCATTAGAGAGAAATCTGAGCAATAATCAGAAATTAGCCCCGCGCAATGCCGAGAATCAGCCCCTCGACTTTTGCTGCATCAAGTAACCACTAGAGGCCTAGATAACAGAGGCGTCAGGTGAGAAAATGGTCTGATTGGCTCGCTAAATCACATGCGATTCAGCGCCATTTTCTTTCATACTATGTTGTAATGTTAGGTTAGGCCGGAATCAGACAAGGGCTGCGTTCAGCAGAACGTTTGTTTTGCAACTGTTGGAAGTTTCCTTCGCGCTGATTGGATCATACTTTTAGATCTAGAAGAATGGTCCTATCTCAGCAGACAATCATAAAACTGTTGCAAAACTGTTGAGTCTGCTGAACGCAACCATTGGCTGCGTTCAGCAGAAAGTTTGTTTGCAACTGTTGGAAGTTTCCTTCACGCTAATTGGATCATACTTTTAGATCTAGAAGAATGGTCCTATCTCAGCAGACAATAGCTGCGTTCAACAGACTCAACAGTTTTGCAACCGTTTTATGATTGTCTGCTGAGATAGGACCATTCTTCTAGATCTAAAAGTATGATCCAATTAGCGCGAAGGAAACTTACAACAGTTGCAAAACGAACGTTCTGCTGAACGCACCCTTATGCATTGAAGATTGAGATTGAAGATTGAAAAATTCAGATTTGACTAATCGAAGTAAAAGGAGCTAAAATTTTTTTATCCTTATTGGTCAAATTTCAATCTTTGAATCTTCAATCTCAGGGCCAGTGTCACCAAGCTCAGTTAACTTAACTGGCCAGTAAGTCCATCGGAATTGACCAATCGCATTTGTCATTTTGTTTGCTTCAAACAAGATTTGCTTCAAACAAGACAACATAGAATAAATTCTTGCCACCGTATTGACTACAATGCAGACACTGTCAGTACCGTAGCCAATACGATGGCAAGATTCTAATCCAGCTAGGAATCCAGCAGGAAAACAAGCATCGTGTACCGCAAGCTTTACTGAGCGCTCAGAGAGGACAGTGAGCGGTTGTACTTCTGGATGCACCTTATATATAACTGTGCACCCTATATGACTGTGATATTTAATAACTTATGATAATACATACATGTGAAAATATGTTTAACTTTTAAATACACATTTTTAGGTTATGTGCACATTGATCAAGTGGATCAAGTGTACTTGTCTGATTTCAGTTATACTATTATAAAATTCCAAATAAATTTTGTACAATGTACTTACAAGTATCCTTATTTTCTAATTTCTTTAATATCTTTCCTTTCGTTTTTACTGAATCGGACGGATAGAGATTCATTAAAAATTATTACTTCGTAAAATGATATAACAATATGGAATTTTATTTATTTTATGCAGCAGAAAATCTACTCTAGTATTCTGCGCTTAAAATGTACATTATTATGTATACCCAATCCTGACGTATACTATACATTTTCAGCACTGCCAGTGAATTTTGGAACACTGCTAAAGTAGCGCAATTGATTTCAGAAATATTACGTTAAAATGGCCGAAGTGCACATAGTACACGATTCCAAGCATGGTGGTTGATGGTTCATCTTTTAAACTGTACTTACATGTCCCTTCGTGCACTTTCATGCACTAAACTTCTACAGCAAATAAATCCGTATTAAACTAAAAAACACATAAATTAAACATTCGTACATATTCTTTTATTCATAAATAAACTAATTACAACTAAAAAACGTTGATTTACATACTTGACAGCTTCATTTTCTCAAATAAAGCACGTAATACAAATGCATAAATTCAAAATGGCCGCGTTTTGTGACAAAACGGATGCGAGTTTGTGGTACTTTATAGATCTACTGACTTTAGCCATACAGTGTCATCACTGCTTCGCTCGCTCAACGCCGAAGCTGGCTGAGCGCGGCATCACTTGGTAGGACAAAAGTGGAGAGGCTGATGCCCATGGCGCATACAAAAACGTAAAGTAGTAAGACGTAATCAGTAACCCCGGATCTACAATAGGGTTTTAAGCCTTAAGCCATAAGAAATGGGCGAATCACAGTCGATTATTCCCCTCGGATTCGACTGTAATTGGTCAATTTCTTACGGCTTAAGGCTTAAAACACCTATTGTAGATCCGAACTAAGGCTGGCGTCCCATGGAGCGGGAATTTACAGCGGAACGGAACAGCGCGACCAATCACAACTCTGCAGTCATTATTCTGCTTTCTTTACTGCGATTGTGATTGGTCGTGCTGTTCCGTTCCGCTGTAAATTTCCGCTTATAGGACTCTAGCCTAAGGCCAGAATCAGACCACGCATTGAAGATTGAAAGATTGAAATTTGACCAATAAAAACAATAGAAACTAAAATTCCTTTGCCCTCATTGGTCAAATTTCAATCTTCAATCTTCGATCTCAATTTTCAATGCGTAGTCTGATTCCGGTCTAAGCGAATTGGCCAATCACGGTAGAGACCGTAAAGGCAGTAGTGAATCCAATCTTACTGTGAGGTCTACAATGGCAGTATCAGTAATGGATGAGGCTGAAGAGTAAGAAATTTACCAATCACAGTCGATTATCTTTCTTACATTCAATTGAGATTGGTCAATTTCTTACTCTAATGGCCGCAGCACAGACTCTTGCACAACGCATAATGCATAGTGCATATGGGAATCGACCAATCGAAATTCTTCTTTTCCATGGAATGGGAGGAAAGGAAAGATTCTGATTAGTTGATTCGCTTAGGCACTGTGCGTTATGCGTTATACAAGAGTCTACGCTGCCGCCATTATGCGGGATCTACAATAGAAGTCGTAGCAGTCGTAGAGTCTTAAGTCGTAGAAAATTAACCAATCACAGTCAAATATGAGAGGAATAATCAACTGTGATTGATCAATTTTCTACAACTTAAGATCCTACGACCGTTACGATTTCTATTGTAGACCCCGCATTACAGCCTCATCCATTTCTGATACTGCTATTGTAGACGACGCAATACGATTTCCTTACTGCTTATGCTGGATTCATACTGCATCCGATTTTCGTCGTACGACGCTC